ATTCGGATTAGGTACAAATACACGGCACAGCTGCTCAAAATGACACCCACTCACCTTCACAGGGTCCAAAAGCCACCACAGGCAGCTGAAAGCTGGCAATATTTTAGCTGATATATTCAGGAGGAAGAGGAAAGACTCGGAGGGAGATGGAAGAACAAGAATAAAGCTGCGTGATGGGGGTATGATCTGGGAGTTCATCACTGGGGAAGGAAATAAAGCATCGAGCAGGAGGGGAGCACCAGCAGCACCTCCAATGGGCCCCCGCTCCACAGGGAAACGCTGTAACTGGTGGCTTCAGAAGGAGTTTGTAAGTTTCTGTAACAAACCCCAACCTGACAGAATGGGAAAGATCTCAAAATCAAGGTATTTTCAAGTACTATGGATCAACTTCAGCAATTGGTACCAGAGGAGTCACCGAACAAAGAATGTGACCCTTTGAGTTAGCTAACTGCGGCTTTACTGAGGTGAGCAGCACCTCCTTCCCCTGCTCTGCAAACACTGCGCTCTGCTGGCGCGAGGACTGCGCAGAGGCAGCGGGTCCCTGAATCCACCTCAGCACATTGTCCTGTAGTTCTGACTCGGGAAGAAACAGTAAATTCTTTATAAACATCCCCCCAACACTTTACATTCATGTTACGTTACAGACTTCATGCAGCAGGTTTGGTAACTACCACTAGGTTGTGCTTTCGGTCCGCACCAGCGCACGGAGCTAACAACTACAGCTAGTCTGGAGTCTGCTGGTTTCCCCCAGGAAGTTGACATTCATCCCTGCAGTGCTGCTGGGAAGCTTCCTGGTTCTCATAGCTACCTGCACTAGGTAGAGCCCACTAAAACCACACAGGAGTGCTTAATGGAATATCACCATATTCTCCTCCAAAACCACACCGTACCAACAGCACAGTGCAGCCCATGGACCTCCTCATTCCCTGGGCAGGATTTGCTGGCCAAGGAGAGGACTTACCCAATACTATCCATAGAAACATCAATGTGTATCTGATGTACATGGGCGAGAAGGAGGAGGGCAGGAGGTGGTCACTGGGGGTTGGTCACTTGGGAGCATTATTCTGGAGCACAGGGATGGGAAGGGAGCAGCACAGCAAAACCCAGCGAGAGCGTTCGTCCCACGCAGACACATCCACATGGAAGAGCCGAGTCCTCACACAAAGGACACAAAATGCATTTGGAAAATGCTGCAATACAAACAAACAGGCCCCAGGCAAGGCAGAACAGGCTGCACTTGGCCTGAACTCAGCTCCTCCCTGTATTCAGTCGCAACCTGCAGCAGTGACTACAGACAGCCTGAGGAATTCCCGTTTTCCAGTGCATTTACCAGGCATAACTGACAGAACTTTACACATCCCGAATTTATCACATTCTTTGTATGCAACTGTCTTTCAGAAGCTAAGGGAACAAAAGAGTCCATTTAAAAAGTAAATAGCAGCCCAGCTTTAAAAGCACGGGCAGCAGGGAGTGAGGGCAAAACCACTGCCTGTCCACTGCCCACTTCTGTTAACAGCCTCCTCAAAGGCCAGAAACACTGAACCGGAAGCACCCCCTCTCCCTCGCAGGCCGTCTGCAATTGTGTCTGTGGCATCAGTGGGTTTCCCACATTTTCTTCTACCTCATTTTTACACCACTTTTGTATTTGTTTCATGTTTCATTCTGGAGCTTTGAAATCCCTGATACGTAACTATTGATGTGAAGTGGTTCTGAAGCTCTCAGACTATTCTGCCTGGGCAGGAGTTTGTTGTAACCAAGTGAGGCTGAGCTGCTGTTAAGGAAAGGGGAAAATGAGCCGTAACGACTTGCAAGAAAAGTTACTAAGTCACTTGGAATCCTTTGAAGCTGTTTCTAACTCTGGGCCCGATAGCTCTGTTATCATAAAGGCATCTGTTGTGATAGTGAGACAAGAACTGATCCGGTGCCACCCCATGAGCAGTGCTGCAGGCAGCAGGCAGGGATGCTGCCTGCACATCTTGTAGGCAGCTCTTGTGCTGCTGCTGCTGCTGCTTGGCAGAGACACAGCACTGGAACAACGACACGGCTGTAACCAGAACCAGATCCACACAGGGCACAAGAACCTGCCCAGAGGACTCCTGTGAATCCACACGGCTTCAGACACTGCTCATACCCCTATCCTAAAACCACACTTGAGCTGACAGAAGCAGGAGGTCACCAGATCATCTTCCTGTTTCTAGACGAGGAATTGTGAGTTTTAAAAGGCACAAACAGCACCTCTGTGGGTGCTAAATTCCCACACGTTTCCTATTGTGTTTAGCTGCCATCCTCCTCTCAGCAGCCCCCTCCAGAACACATTTTGCCAGCAATGAGGTGATTAATTCTACTGCATCTTTCAGCAAACACAGCTCAGGGTCCTCCACGAGATTTACAGCAGAAACACAGGTTAAGACTGACAGAGTTTCAGCACTCAACAGCCGTTTGATGACAGAACCACCCATGAGATGTGGTTAAAGGGGCTGAAACAGGAGCACCCGGAGTGCTCCCTATGGCTCTGAGAAGTGGGAGTCACCGACAGCCTGGGTGAGCCTGTCCTGAGCTGACACTGAGGCCGCTGCCTGCCCTACACCCAACTACAGAGGCTGGCGTGCAGAGTATGTGTGATGCGGGGCCCGGTTTACACCAGGTAGTTAAACATCCACTCCTATGGACAGAAAACCTGCAAGACTCTCCTGTCTCACAAACACATTTGCACCAGGAGCAGAGTAAACAGGAAAAGGGCTCAGTGCCCTTGTCACCAAACAGATACTCATCAGGTAATTTCTCATGACAGGCGCAACCGCTGCTGCAGTCACTGTCAACACAGGGGGCTGATAAACACAAAACTGGGATAGAAAATGGGAACAAATGATCCTAAAGGCAGTCTACTAATACTTTAAGCATGCACCTAATTCACACATGAGTGATGGAGTTACCAGCTCTGAATCATGCAGATAAAAAAACCTCAGGTGTAGAAAACTGCGTGTAATCCTGCAGCAAATCCTCAGTTCCCTTCCACAGACTAAACCCAGTGGTACATCCCTGACTGCAAATGGAGCCAAAGGAAGAAAAAACCCCATCACCTCTTAGTGCTGAAAACCCTTTAAACCACCAACCGGCCCATGGGAGAACATGCAGTACATCCACTGGCTGTTCAGCATTCCGGGACTAAAACCATCCTCACGAGGCGTAAACTCCAAACCCTGCTGCTGGGGTGAAGCTTTCGGTGCAGTTCAGTCACACGGTTAGAATTTACACCTTCCTCTGGCTCCACAAACACACAAAGGTCCATCAAACACTGATCCAGGGATGAGCTGGTTCTTCAGCCCTAAGAATTAACACAAACTCTACTGTCCACAGTTCCCTTTTGCACTTTAGGTGCCTGCAAGTGGGACTGGGCATAAAGGGTGCTAGAACTCAAAGACAATTACACCCTCCTCTGGCCACAATATTCTTGCATCTCGCTCCTGGCAATGTGTTCTATTTTCATACACAGCTGCACATGTATAATGCATGTTCAGCACTTTGTCTTCCAACACACTTAGATCCAACTGTCAACTTAGTGCCAAATTTAAGTGGATCTGTCTCTCACTGAGTTGAACTGACTTAACTTTAAACGTGTCAGAAAATGCCACTTGTCAGAGCAGGCTGGAGAGTCAGTCTCAAAATAAATACCATCCCCAAGAATATTATGGCTTCAAAGAATCTCAAGAACTCGAGTCCCTGATGTTTGCAGAACAAAAAGGCCTTTGAAATGCGCTCAGCTCAGTGCTTTTACACCTATTTTGAATAAAAAATATATAGTATTTATAAAATAAAGAGCAGGCCAAAGCAGATTGGCCAGAATCACTCTATAAAACTGTTCTGTTCACTCCATAACTTAAAACTTAGAAAGCCTTGAGACATCTGGATGGCAGGATTTCCGGAGAAGCACTCTGGAATGCAGATTCCAATCAGACAATGCTCCATGACGTTTTCTCATCCTGAAGATCCACTTGTTTTCTGTCCCTCAGAACTGAAGTCCCGGCCAAGAGAAGGGATGCTGACTCCTGAGAGGGAAGCTGAAACGCACACACAGAAAACGTGCAGCTGTAAGTGCTGACCCAAAGGGCACTGGATGATGTCTAATCTTGACCAGGACACGTCGGTGCCATGTGGAATGCCAGGGAAACTGCTGGGGTTTCAGTCCCTCCACAGGATGGCACCATTCAATCCCACTGACACTGAATATACTCTGGGGTTTTCTCTCCTATCCCTGTCTGTTCCACCTCCTGCGAGCGGAGCAGCAGAGGAGACTCCCTGAACCTCCCTGGAGAGTGAAGAGGACGCAGCCTGTGGCTCACTGCCCAGCACGTGTGCAGGGCATCACCCTGCTGTTAGGAAAGACCATGGAGCAGTGAACACTCCGGCAGCAGCATCTTTCCCAAACTGTGTCAACTGTTCTTGCACCAAAGTTTCTCCACAGTGAATAAATAAGTTAATTATAAGAGCAGGAGCCAACGTGGGCATCACAAGTTACTGCTGTTTATTCCTAACCGTTGGCTGTTCACAACTTCAGTTTCTCTCAAGACTGTATCTGCACCTTCCCACACGCTTCGTGAATCACTGAACAGATTTCCAAGTGGCAAGAGTCGTTCCTGCCACGTTTGCCAGAGCAGCTGCCAGGTTTGCATCCTGCCCTGCAAACAGAGCTGCTGGCTCTTGTCTTCACTGTATCAAGAGCCAGCCCCGGGCTCCAGGAGAGCCTGTTTTCTTTCAGGTTCTCTTGGACAACCTGTTTCTGGACAAGATGCAGGAGTATTGGTGCAGCAGCACCATCCTCGGTGAGCAGCCTTCAGCATGCTCCCAGGCTCTGCCAGAGCACTGCCTGGAACAGTGCAGTGAAGAGTCAAACCCTGCCCAGCATCACCCGCCCATTCCCTGCACAGCAGCAGCTTTAAAGTGATGAAGAAACAAATACTGACCTTCCTGAACAAGCTTTATACTGCTGCATGTTCAAGCTGCTATGTCTCCCTTTCTATGGCAAGGGATGAAGCTTCAGCAGAATCTATATAACAAGAAATAGAGGTAAGTACATGTGTTTCCTCACTGAGAACATATTCTTCATTAAGTGTGGGAGGGTGTTTTTAAGAATTATTCCAAATAAAGATAACTGCTTGTCAGAGATACCTGAAGAGCAGTTGGTAAACTGAGATTACTCCATTACTGGCTTTACCTACTCCTGACTGCATCACAAGCTTTAAAGCCACAAAGACAATTAAAGATCTTTCTCTTTTAATGGAACATTTCAGACCTTATCTAGAATGAGCATTAATAAATCTGGACAAAACCCCCAATTACCATGAATGTGGAAGGAAATGTTTCCAGTCTCTGGCTAAGAAATGGAACAAAAGCTTCCCCCCAATATTTTGCTCCTTACATGGAACAATAAAAGCACAGAGAAATGTAACACTAAAGAGTCATTAAACTAAGCTTGGATCCATCCAACAGTATCATCAGTGAATGGATGTACATATAAAGGTTTTTTCTAACAGGACATATGCCCCATGGCATAAAAGGTAAGTTTACATTTCAGAAGCTGATCAAACCTAATGTACAAACGTGCTGGTTCACCTGGAATTGCTCACAGCCCAGTGCTTCTTCCATGGAAGGAAGAAGGGATCATTTCTAGGCAGTGTTCCTCACTCAAGCTGGAGCTGATGAAGCCAGCACATGCTTTTGATTGGATTAGCTCTTACAAAGCAGCCATTATTCACTGCAGGTCGAGATACAACCAATTCCCTTCACTGGTACCTTACCGTGAGGCTCTTCATCTATTCCATCATCTTCCCACTGCTCTTCATTTGCTAGGAGAGGATTCTGAGCTTCACACAAAGCCCTCATGGGGAAAAAATGCCCATCGCCCTGGCTGCGTGGAAAAGGCAGAGGAAGACACTGTGAAAAGCAGGCAGGGGCTCTGAGGGATGACAATCTCCACATATTTTATCTGCAGACAATGTTTTCTGTCACCTCTATTGCCCGTGTTTACCTAAATCATGTTTAAGCTTTGACAAGCACTGGGTTTCCTTTTTGTGGCAGCTCAGATACCAAGTTTTACTGGTGAGTAGTTGTGGCCCTCAATTCCTTCAGGCTCTCTGGAGAATAAAAGTTCAAACCTACAGCCTGGAAGTAAGTGAGGTTTGGCAGAACTTAAACGTGCCCAACTTGATCCAGGCATTTGGATACAGGAGAAAAATAAAGGGAAAAAAGTAATGAGGGGGAAACTAAGAAAAACATTTATGTGGAAGGAGCAACTTATACCATAGACTCTTCAGGGCAGAAATTACACTCTGTGTTTGAATGACACCCAGTAGAAAATAGCCTCAATCTTAGTTAGATGTTACTGAAAGACAAAAGGGCCACTTCCCTCTGACTTCGACTGTGCACTCTGCCAAAGAGAAACGTGTATCTGGGTATCAAACAAGCATCTGAGAGCGTGTTCAGATTCACATAACAAACTAACAAAGTTAAACCCCAGCTGCTGGAGCTCAGTGTGTGCCCACTGCATTCCCCAACACCCAGCAGCACAGACAGGGGAACTCGGAACGAGGTGAGGGGCCTTTTTCCGCTGATGCTTTATCTTTATGCAAGGGAAATAACTGAAGTGCTCCCGCTGTGATGACTACACACACTGTAACGTGCCTCTGAAAGTACTTGAGTGCTGCCCTTCATGAACAGAAAAGGTTTTGTGCTGATCCTTTCCCTTTAACTATACCTAAAAGTGGAGAACAGGCAGCAGTGGACATTTAGAACCCAGCACTGACTTGGTTATCACTTACCTAGAGGCAATAGGTAGCAACCAGAGCTTTTTTTCTTCTCCAAACACTTGCTGAAGGTTCTTTACGAAGCCAAGATTGAACCCGTTTTTATCTGGGCCGTTTTGAAACACAGGAGCTGAGAAAGCCTCTGCACAGACACAGCGTGAGTGAAAACAACGGAACTCAGTGCCAAACACTCTGCAACAGGAGTGTGCACGTTGCAGCCGTGTACAGACAACATGGTCCAACAGATCACGAACTAGCCCGACAAAGGAACCAAGTTTGACAATAACACTTCTTCATTTTGCAAGTCTGTGAAGACTTTCGCACTGAAGGGAGGAGTTTGGTCCTGCAACTGAACCACACGCAACAGCCAAACCCACCTAACCCAGGGAGCAGAGGTAAAACTGAGCTCCACTCATCCCACAGCAAATGCAGTTGTACAGATGCATGACATTGTTATAAATGGACTTTTACACTTTAAGGGTCTCATTTCCCCCCACCTATAAATGCAGCTCATTTGAAGCGACAAATTTCTGCAGCACTCTGCCAAGATCTTAAATCTTCCTTCCCTCAAAACCAACAGTACTTTTGGTGTGTCTTCCTTCAGGAAGTAAGACCCAAGAGCCTTACCTAGAGTGGATCTGTTTCTGCTAACAAGCCAGCAGTGGTAGCCAAACAGAAACATAAGGCTTACAAAGAACATGACCGCCACAAAGAGAAGGAAAAGGACGTGGAATTTGGAACGTCCATTAGTCAGTTCACCCTGGAAAGAAAAACAACACAAACCAAGTGACAGGAACAAATAAAGGCTGTAAAGTCTTAGTTCCCAGAGAGAAAGAGATCCTCTAAAAGTCCTGTTAAGAGTTCTCAAACTTGTATGCACAAATGTCACACCTTACAATGGGAAGGCAGAAGAGACAAAGAAATGATCTGCCTCATTTCCCCTCCCGTAGCCAAAGCAGTAGGGATCCTGAGTGACTACCCAGTTAAACGACAGAGTATTAATAAACCAGTGCACAGCAAAGTTAAGTTACTTAAAGTCACACAGAGTTAGCAGCAGAGAGGACAAAAAACCTACAGACCAAAGGCCACACTCTCTTACTGGGGCTGTCTGTTGGCATTGCTTGTGTATGAACAATAATGGATAACTGCATAAGAAGTGTACTTCATTTCAGTTGACTTTTAAATTGAGAAAGGAGTCAAACAGGGATTAGAAAATAAATGAGGTGTTTTGATATTATTCAGGGAACATGCACAGATCAGTGCCAGGATGTTCTACTTGGATACCAAAGACTCTGAGATCCATCCATGCAAATACAAGAGGAAACGGATGTCACTTCTTGGCTAGAGCTAACTCTACAACCCAAAACTCCTTAAGTCTATTTGCTTCTCACTTTGTGCACTCCACACATACAATGGGAGTTTACACTCAAAAAAGAGTCCAGGAAAATGCCTTACAGAAGAAATACAGAACCTCCATGGACTGACAGCAAAGAAGTAAGGAGTGACTAAACCCCACAAGATTCACAGGCTATCAAAAAGTAACCAAAGTTTGTGACTTACTGTCCAGTACTTAATGAAATACTTGAA